CATGCGCGGCCGCGCTGCCCGGCCCAGCGGGGACTTGGCCCGGACATCCCGAAGGCCAGTGTCCCCACCGCGTGCGACACGTACCTCCGACCAGTTCTCGGAGGCGGGGACCCCGCGGTGGCGGCCCCGAGTTCCCCGGGAATGCTTCGCACACGACAGGCAGCTTTTAGGACCGGAAGTGATCAGAACCACACCGCCGTGCGCTCGTCAGAGCAACCAGGAGAGACGACGGCGAGCCGGCCGTCACCCCCACTACACGACCCCTGCCCGACGACCTGAGCCCATGCTCCACGTACCATAAAATGACCACCCAGCGACACCACCACCTTTGTAAAATACCAGTAAATTCGACCCTGGAGATACTCTTTCCGTGAAAATGAACCAGCACTTCTGAATTACCAAATGCACAATCATAAAAGAAAAGTGCATTAAAAGCAGAGCGCTTAAAGCCCTTGCACAGTTACAATTATTGTGAAAACACGACCACAGCCCGTGAAAGCTGACATTTAGGGGTCTAGGATCACGAGGGGTCAAATAAGGTTCTTATTTTCTTAAAAAAAATATACAGTACACAAAGCTGTTTGAAAAAAGGTAATCTTATTTAACAACTTTCTGACTTAAATATTGTACATAATGTTTTGGTCACTGCCAGCATTACTTAGGTAAAGATGCCAGAAGAGACCACCGCAAAGCGAGCAATGTGGTTAGACCCACCGCAGGGCCCGGTGGCACCCCTCCCGATGCACCAAGTCTGGACACCATAATAAAACTGCTCTTCAGAAATGGAGGAGGCCACGAGAGAAAACAGAGCAATAATCCCCAGAAAAAAATAGACCCCAGCTGTCTGTTACAGTGAAAAAGATATCCATTTATTAATAAAACGCACACAAGTCCGCCTGAGTGTGCGGAGAGCCGCCTCGGATGCGTACCACGGCAAGGACTCACTGCTATTTACAAATACACCACTCAGCCACATGGAGGCCATACAGCTGTCTATGTACACATGTATTTACATATAGAACATATAAATAGTTTTAAGGGGATTAACACCAAGTGGAGAACCTTCCGTCTTTGGAATGCTGTGGGCTTGGCACACACGCTGCCCAGTACAGGAGGGATTTGGTTTGAGACAGGTCCTGTGTGGTGCCATTGGTGACAATAAAGAGCTCCCTGAAATGAAAACTTACGTCTCTAGGGAGGAGGAAAAAGCCATGGGTTCTTGTGGTCCTCACCCTTCACCTGCAGAGATGGACAGGGACAGCTTGTCCCAAGAGATGCCTGCCACTTCCTGTTTGCAGTGTATGGCTTGTGCTTCTGCAGGCATCCAACCCACGGCCTGCGTAGCCCCGCGCAGTGAAGACCTGCCGCCGAGGCTGCGGGGCAGCCCCCACCCTGCCAGCGCCCAGATCCTGCGTTCTTCCAACCAGGGGTGAGATGCTGTGAGGAGGTAGATGGGTCCAGCCATCTCGCAAGGCATCCGCTATACTAATTTAGGGTAGAATAAAAGTCAGTTGCTACCAGCTTCAAACTGCAGAATAAAAAGTGGAAACACCCTGTGTGTAATGACACTGCCGAGGACTTCATGCACCTGCCCTATGCATTGTAAGCAAGGCTTCTTATCACAGAAAGCATAAAGGAAACCTTACACACCTTTCCTGTTAACTCCTGTCTTTGCTAATACAAAGAAATCACACTACAATGATAGGAAGATCCAGTTAATTTCCTGTTAACTAGATTCACTGGCCATGGAGGAGAGGAAGCTATTGTAGTACCTGAGTTCAGTGATTTGTAGACAAATGACAACACATTTCCATCTTTCTCAGTTTTTCCTGTGAGTCTCTGACAGACAATGATTCTTTAGATAATCGTCTAGCTAAACATCGTTTGTGGTGGATTTTTAACCCTCGCGGCCGCAGTCCTCCGGGCAGGCTCCGGGCAGGCTCCACCATGGCGTCAGAACACGTTGGTGAGGGTCTGCCACTCGCCGGCCGCCTCCTGCACCGCCTCCTCCAGACGCAGGGCCCTCAGCTCCTCCCCGTCCTGCTCCTGGACCACGGCGGTAGCCTGCAGGGTGCCTGGGGCAGCAGAGAAAGCAGGCCTCAGAGAGGGCACAAACAGGAAGCCCTGCCACTCCAGGGACAAAGCCAGATAAATCATTCTGTGGGAGCGGAGCCTTCGCAAGCCCGCTGTGTACCCCGCCACTGAGTGATACCCCGAGCCCGGCCACGTGTCTGCCTGCCACAGTCACGGACACACCGCCACTTGCACAGGTAAGGAGGATGTGTTGTTCCACGTGCCCACTCCTGTAAAGGCTGTGAACCCATGACCAGCAATGAATAATTCAGGTCAACAATGCAGCTGACTTCTCCAACAGAAAGGAAAGCAAGGAGCCTACAGGGAGACGTGAGCTTCTTCCTTTCCTTGAACGCTCAGCACAGTGCGGTGCTCGACCCTGATCAGCCCGTGTGCAGGACGGGGTACTGACTAGCCCTCCTGCTGCTAGGCTGTGTGGAGGAGCCGGGGCAGTGGTATGTGCGGAACACATCCCTCCAGACAGTCAGCCCTGGAGGCACCAATACTCGCTGACCATCCAAGACTACTGATGCCACACATGGTCTGTGCTGAGGAGGCAGAGGGTGGGCAGGAGCTGCACCAAAGCGGCCCCATCCACCGATTTCTCTGCAGAGAAAGCCTGGAGTGCTGAGGACACAGGGGTGTCCACAAGTTCTGTGGACACCGTCAGCCCAGGATGGTCCCAGCAGCACCACTGTCACCAGGCGGGCCAGCCTGGCTACATCACAAGACCCTGTCTAGGAGGGGAGAGGAGAAGAGAGGTGTCCAGCTGGGGGTCTAACCCTCCACCCCCACTCATGGCCTCTCCAAATCAGGTTTCTTCCTCCTGTAAGGTGTACTGTGTAAGGTACAATTGTGTAAGGTGCACTGTGTGTAAGGTGTACTGTGTGTAAGGTGTACTGTGTAAGGTGCATCTGTGTAAGGTGCACTGTGTGTAAGGTGCACTATGTGTAAGATATACTGTGTGTAAGGTGTACTGTGTACAAGGTGTACTGTGTGTAAGGTGTACTGTGTGTACAAGGTGTACTGTGTGTAAGGTGTACTGTGTGTAAGGTGTCCTGTGTGTAAGGTGCAACTGTCTGTAAGGTGCA